AAAATTGCCTTTATGTACGGTTTTTGTTTGTGTTAATATTCTTACCCCTTCAGCTCCATGCGACTGTGTGGCTGCTATGGTATTACTGTGAACATCTGGTTATAATGTAAGGTGTTCAGCACTCTCTGGATACCCCTAGTTGATCTTGCTGATAGTGCTAAAATCTCTGGTGATAACTAATCGTTTTTTGTATATATATATATGTATTATGCAAATTTCTGATATACTGTCTTGAAGTTACAAATGGTCAGAAATTCATTAATTCTATATCATCACTTTCAAAGGCCATGACCAGGGGTGCCACATTTTCTTTACTGATGCGTTACTTTACTGAGTAAAACAACGCTTTCAGATATCACCGTATGAGTGACGAACAACCGAAAATATTGTTTTATTACCTTCCGGACACAATGCGACTAAAGTGTTACTATAGTAATCAGTAAAGAAAATGTGCCACCCCTATTGGTTAGTATCAAATCTTTGTTATTGAAGATCCACAGCTGATGACAGGATACAGCCGTTTAAGAAAATATTCGATTTTTAAAACGTTTTCTTGCCGTTCGTGTAGAGAAAACATCGTTTAGAGAAACATTTTTCCGTAAAAAAAATTTAGTTCAAAGCCTGATGGTTACTGGGAATCACTTTGGTTAACCTCCGAGGGTAAAATGGCTACCGCTTTTTCCCTAACAAGGCTAGAGATTTGCGATGTTTACCATTCGATTCAGCTTGCTGAGCTCTATACGGATATCTAGTCTTTTTTGCATAAAAGCAAAAATTGACTGAGAAACCATCAGGCTTTGAACTAAATTTTTTTTACGGAAAAATCCGTCGATGTTTTCTCTACACGAACGACGAGAAAACGTTTTAAAAATCGAATATTTTCTTAAACGGTTTAATCCTTTCTATCAACTTCAGAACAAACGTCTGTAATAGTAATCTCTTGATTTATTGCGAGCATCGTTGATACCCCATTTTAGAATCAATAGTTTAACTGCTTTTCCAACAAGCTTAGAGTCAGAACAGCAGAATAAGATGATCAGTGTCCATCATAAACAAAAAAACAGAAATTCGACATACTTTACCTCGTGTTGAGAAATGTAAGTCCAATTAGCACTTTCTTTTTTAGATTGGCGAAAAGAAGGATATGTAACAGAAGTCAAAGATCAAGGTCAATGTGGTATGTAATTACGGTCTAAATGTACACGCATTTGTTTTTCTTATCAGTGAATCTTTCGTTTCTTTCTCAAGGTTCGTGCTGGGCGTTCTCTGCGACAGGTTCATTGGAAGGGCAGCATTATAGAAAATATATGGAACTTGTTTCATTATCTGAGCAAAATTTAGTTGATTGCTCTCGACTGTTCGGTAATATGGGATGTAATGGTACGTATCACTGTTGTTTTTGAAACAGATCGATATTTTCACTAATTTTTTTCTTTTTGTATTATTTAGGTGGCTCGATGGCTTTATCTTTTCTGTATATCAAAGAGAATAAAGGAATTGATATAGAAAACACTTATCCATATGAAGCCATGGTATGAAAGAACATTGTCCCTTTTTCCTTTCACTCATTTATCATGTTCGTAAAATTTATTTCTTATAGGATGGGAGATGTCGATTTAACAAGCAAAATGTTGGCGCAAATGATACTGTATGTTGAAATATTTTTCTATTTACGTGATACATGTATACTGGATTTTCTTTTAAAAGGGTTTTGTTCAAATAAAACATTTTTCAGAAACAGATCTAGAAACAGCCATCGCTACAGTTGGTCCAGTTTCGGTTTCGATCGATGCCAGTCGAGATTCATTCCAGTTTTATTCAACAGGTGTTTACAACGAACCTACCTGTTCATCAATTAAATTAGATCATGGTGTATTAGCAGTTGGTTATGATACGTATAAAGATACACAAGATTATTACATTGTTAAAAATTCTTGGGGTAAAGGCTGGGGAGATGAAGGTTACATATGGATGAGCCGTAATAAGAAAAATCAATGTGGTATTGCATCAGATGCATCATACCCTCTTGTTTAAAAAATATCAATGAAAACTCATCATTTTACTCGTACTAGCAACATGTTTTTTTTCTGTTTGTAAACGAAATGTAGATCCTTTTATTGAATATAATAACATCAGTTCAAATACTCATAAGGTGTTTTCGTTGGGGTAATAACGCGTTAATGTCCGTTTTTTTAGTGGACGGTAACGTGCGTTACCAGCATACTTTTCTTGTTACAAATACTTTAAGGCGATATAAAGGATCGAACAATGCATCGTATTGTCATGGTCTTGAAAAATAGTTACGTTATTGCAAGATAGTCTTACACTGTAAAAAATAAAGTATGTTAGTAGGTGTGTAAATCTTCTAAACGTTTACCCGACATCGAAAAGTGTGTACCTTCTCTAGATCGTCAATCTCAGTTTGTAAAGGGCTAGGTATGTTAAAAAGATTTTTTATTTTTCATTTTTCTCTTGAACTACTGCATCAAATGAAAAAAATAATTTCAGAACCATAATCACCATCTTCGAAAGTTATATGCTGCCATTTCCAGCAAAAACGGATAAGAAAAAACAGTGAAAAAAACATCCTCATATGGTAGATCTGAATAATCGATTGATGAATCTGAGGCATTTCCAGCACAGATGGTTTAGACAAGTGCACTGTATCAGTGATCTTATGAGGGAACCTATTGAGGTTATAAATCACTTTTGAACTCGGACTACTTGTATCTTGTAGACCTCAGTGAGTAGTGAAATACCCTAAGTTGGTTCATCCCCATGATGCTTTGTTGCTGAGATATTGAATTTTTAGTCAGT